TTTCTACAAAATCAGAATCAGCATGTAAAATAATAAGGTGTCTTCCCTTTCTTGTAAGGCCTTTCAGGAATTGCTACCTTTAATAGTACTCAGTGTAGAAGGATCCATAATTGTAGATTTTTAATACAATTGCTTACTGAAGAACTATTATTTACGAAATAAAGTAAAAAACTAAGTAATGGATGAGATATCAAATTATAAAATGTCAGAACTGCCAACAATATCAATTATTAGCCGATAATCATGCTAAAAAGTAATGTGTGAAACTGACTGTATTCTGACCAATCAGAAGGCTACAGAATTGCCAACTTAAATTCAAATCGCTCCTCTTAGTTTAAAAACAAAGTATAGTTACCGATACCTGAATAGCATTTATAAGAATAATTTATTTACTTGCAACCTTTCCCCGCACGCCACCTCGCCCCTCACCAATAAACATGGTCAAATTGGGCTAAGCCATTTTACATTCGTCTGCATAGGGAGCGATGTTGCAATTTTTCAATTTTTAGTGTCTATTCCGTCTGTTCAGATGGCAGCATCTTATGGGCCCTACGTGGCCCTACATTTTTAAATCTTATCACAAGAATCGTGAAATAATTAGGCAAAAATAAAAGAATGTATGTTGCGTTTTAACTTTTAAATACTATAAAAAATGATGGAAAGTCCATAACTTTTAAATATTTGTTAAATATCACTTATTAAAATATTATGCATTAAAAGTAAAACAAACCATAGACTTTCCATCATTTTTTACAGTTTTTTGAACCCATTTATGGCAAAAGAGGTCATTTCTCAAACGTATGTATGAGCAAAAGGCTTAAAAATAGGTCCACGTCAGCTTCACTTTTACACACGACTGGTTTAATCGCGGCTGCTCCACAATGTCTTTCAAAATCATTGATAAAAGTTAAGATCAATAATATTCCAGCTCACGCCCTCATTGATACTGGCAGTTCCGAGTCCTACATTGACGAACATTTTGTTAGAAATATTAAATTGCAAATACTACCAAGTAATGGCAAAATATCAATGGCTTCTACTGCCCTAAGCTCAGACATATCTGGTCACTGTTTCGTTAACTTGGATTTAATGGAATATCACGATAAAAATAAAAAGCTATCGGTACTTAAAAATCTCTGTGCTGACGTCATAATTGGACATGACATCCTTAAAAACTATTCTAAGGTCGAACTAGACTTTGGTGGTCCTAGACCAGCATTAACAATCTGCGGTTTGGTTTTAGCCAAAGTCGAACCACAAAGTCTATTTAATAATCTTGCTCCTAATTGTACGCCAATAGCTACAAGATCCCGAAAACATTCTTGTGACGATAAAAAATTTATACATGAAGAAATCCAAAAACTCCTTGGTGAAGGAATAATAGAGGAAAGTACCTCACCTTGGAGAGCTCAAGTTCTAATTACTAAAAATGAACATCATAAAAAGAGAATGGTAGTAGATTACTCGCAGACAATTAATCGCTTTACATTTTTGGATGCATATCCCTTACCTAATATTGAAGAACTTATCGCTCTCATTTCAAAATACAATTTCTTTAGTACAATCGATCTTAGAAGTGCTTACCATCAAGTTCCGATACGGGAAGAAAAAAAACTTTATACTGCTTTCGAAGCTAATGGGACGCTCTATCAATTCCGAAGAATCCCATTTGGTGTAACCAATGGTGTAGCGTGCTTTCAGAGAGTTATTGACAGTATTATCAAACGAGAAAAACTACCTGGCGTCTATGCATACTTAGATGATGTCACAGTATGTGGAACCAGTCAAGCTGATCATGACGAGAACCTTCAAAAATTTTTGGCTTCTGCAGAAAAATACAACCTTACCCTTAACTATGAAAAATGTCACTTTTCAAAACGTTCGATCAAAATTCTGGGCTACCTTATGGAAGATCATATTATAAAGCCTGACCCAGATAGACTAGAACCTCTAAAAAATTTACCTCCACCTACAAACCTGGCATCTCTTAAAAGAATTATGGGGTTATTCGCTCACTACTCTAAATGGATACCAGGGTTTTCAAACAAAATTCATCGGTTAAATACATGTAAAATATTTCCTCTTCCAACGGCAGAAATGTCAGACTTTGAAGAATTAAAAAAGGATATAATTCAATCAGCTGTAACTGCCATTGACGAGCGCATACCCTTTGTAGTTGAAACTGACGCGTCTGACTACGCTATAGCAGCAACTTTAAGCCAATCAAGCAAGCCCGTTGCATTTTTCTCCCGAACTCTATCAGCTAGTGAACAAAGGCATTCTTCAGTAGAGAAGGAGGCCTATGCTATAGTTGAGGCGTTAAAGAAATGGCGTCATTTTCTTATTGGGAAGCACTTCAAACTAATAACAGACCAAAAAATCTGTTTCCTTTATGTTTAATAACAAACATGCAAGTAAAATCAAAAATGAAAAGATCTTAAGATGGCGACTAGAGCTAGCTTGCTTTAGCTATGATATAGTATATCGTCCGGGCACCGAGAATACTGTCAGCGATACATTTACTAGAATATGCAGTTCAACTACTGGAAATGCTTTATTTGACCTCCACAATGCTCTGTGTCACCCTGGTATCACAAGAATGACTCACTGGGTAAGATCACGCAATTTACCATTCTCTATTGATGAAATTCGAAAAACTACTGCTGCTTGTCCGATTTGTGCTCAAGTAAAACCCAAGTTTCTTAGGTTTCACAAATCTAAATTAATAAAAGCGACTGCTCCTTTTGAACGACTTAATATCGACTTCAAAGGACCTTTATCATCTACATCAAGAAACAGATATCTTTTAACTATCATCGATGAGTATTCCCGGTTTCCATTTGCCTTTCCCTGTTCCGACATGACTTCTAGTAGTGTTATAAAATGTCTTTCCAAGATTTTTTCACTTTTCGGAATGCCATCATACATCCATTCAGACCAGGGTGCTTCTTTCATGTCATCTGAATTAAAACATTATTTGCATTCTAGAGGAGTAGCAACAAGTCGAAGTACACCTTATAATCCAGAAGGAAATGGCCAAATTGAAAGATACAACGGAATTATTTGGAAAACTATAAATTTAGCTTTGAAGTCAAATTCATTAAAAACTATGCAATGGGAGCTAGTTTTAGATGACGCTCTGCATTCTATTCGCTCCTTACTTTGTACCTCTATAAATTGCACTCCTCATGAAAGGATGTTCCCTTTTCCAAGAAAATCTACTTTTGGAACTGCTATTCCTTCGTGGCTCTCAATTCCAGGTCCAGTATTTATAAAAAATCAAGTCCGAAATAGTAAGTTTGATCCTTTAGTAGAAGAAGCTGAACTTGTAGAAGCAAACCCTGATTATGCCACAGTAAGACACCAGGATGGAAGAGAATCTATTGTTTCCCTCAAACATTTGGCCCCAAGAGGAGACTTGAATCTATTAACCTATAATAATAACGAAAATCAACAAAGTAATCAAGATATTTCAGAAAATATTACCAATATCCCATCTCCCAGTTGCCTCAGGATTTCCGATCTTTACAAACCTCCAAATGATACCACCGATACTTCTATTTCAGAGACTCGTTTTCCTGATAATCCGGTCACCCTTGTACATGACGATAAACAAATCGATTTTGTTCAGCAACCTGATACCATCCAACAAATTCGACATCCAAGAGAAAGAAGACCTCCAAAATATTTAGATGACTACGTTTCAAAATAATGCCGGGGAGAATGTAATGAAAAACTGTGTTCATGTTTTATATTAGTTTTGTACATCCTGTATGGTTTATTTATTCTTTGTTATAGAGTTGTCATATTATTTACTGTCACTAAAATTCTGTTTAATAAAGCCTAATTTCAGAAGGTATTTTCATTACAAACAGTTTTTGAAAATATTATCGTTCAGAGCTGTATTTCTTGTGATAAAAAGGTCGCCGTCACTTGTCATTGAACTTGGCCTTATGATCAAAGTTGAAAACTGTATTAAAAATAAAAGTGGAGAGGTCAGAAGAAATGATTAGAACAATGCCTCTGCATTTTTCTTATACACATATTTGTGAAAATTATGTATTAAATATTCGAAAGTTTACTCTGTTCTGCAAGATAAATAAATAAATAAATAATTAATTAAAAAAAATTTAAAGCAGTTTTATTATATAATATAAATTATCAAATATTTGTGTAGTAATACATAATAATCTATAAAATTGTAACTATTTGACTGTTTTTTCAGTGATCAAAAAAGCGTCGAAAACAGCCGATATGAATGTGTTAATATAAAATGTATGTAAAATGTTTAAATTAGGATCCCATTCAGCCTCTACGGATTATGGCCAAACAAAAAGCAGTATAAATTGCAACTCATGATGTACAGTCAAAGGCATTTTTAGCTTCCTCAGAGACTTTTCAGTTGCGTAAATATTGTAATGGGCATAATACAATGTAGCCATGTTGGGGCAAATCACTTGGCCTCTGGGACATGTGCTACTGCTTTAAAATCCATTTCAAAAGTTACCCTTTAAATAAGTTGGGTTAATAGTTCTTAAATCACGGAAAAATAATTCTTTTCCTGTAAAAGAGATTATGAAATTGATTACATGTGAATGTTATCAACTTACTGTTTATATGCTTTGACTGTGTCAATTAATTAACATATCCACTTCAAAAACCAGAGTTTGAGTAGACTTAAAATTCTTCAAATCGAAGACAAATATTTTCCTGAAAAAAAAAAAAAATTATGAAATCAATAGAGAAACATATAAACTTTATATTACCTTACCATCCATATGCTCTAATATGTTAAATAATTAAATTGCTTTAATTTTCAAAATTATGCTTTAATAATTTCACTGACCACTGTGTTATTCTTATGAACATTAATGAGAGTTCACAGTATAGTTCTTTTGTTGGCATCCAGTGCTATGACCATGCTCAACCTGTGACGGGCACTAAACAGGCGTATTCACTTTCTGTCAAGTTTAAAAATAGCAAAAAAAGTCATTCTAGTTTTATTTTTTTATTCCTACAAGTTTTTCACTTTCGTTACAAATTTCATGACAAAATTTTTTATCTTCGACTGCACTCGGTTCCCTGTGTACTTGGGAATTAATGAAATACTTGCCCGTTACATTGTGGATCGTATTAGATGTAGCTAAAAATATCACACCATCTGCACAATATTTCACATCCCTTGTTACAAAAGGTATAAGACGTGTCGAAATTCTAGATTCTAAATTGGATAATAGACTTGTATGTTTATTTGATATTAAAAATTCTGTATTCATCATGTGCGGGTGAACACTATTACAAGTGATATTAAACTGTTTCAACTTTTTAGTGAAATATTTGGTTGAAATCATATTACACAATTTTGTATTGTAATAATGTATAGCTCCAGAAATGAAATGTGGCGTAAAATAATCCGGTTTACTTAATTGTTCTAGGGTTAGTCTATTAAAAAACGCTCCGTTAGAAGTAACATAAATAATCCTACCATTCTTAGATTTTTTTAATAAATCAGTCAGCAAATATGTCAATAAAAAAGGACTTAAATGGTTAATCTGCATTACAGCATCCAAACAGTCCTCTGTTTTTTGTCGCTTCATGCAAAACACGCCAGCATTGTTAACTAAGACGTCTATATAATCCAAGTCCTTAGTTACATTTTCAGCAAAACATTTTACAGAGTTAAACGAAGCTAAATCTAAACGGTACTCATGCACATCGGTGTTTCCAGAAAGACAAATTACATGTTCTTTTGACGGCGTTAGTTCCACCTTATCCGCCATAACTACTTTGAACTTTCTTTGCGCCAGTTCTAATGCTACTTCAAAACCGAGTCCTCTATTTGCACCTGTTACAAGTGCGACTTTTTTCAATGAATTGGTAACAAGGGTCATAGATTTTTTGATCTTTGACTTGTTAAAAAATTAAATGTCAAAACCAATGTTTAGAACAAAATAGGAATTTATCAACTTGTATGTGACTTCAACCTCAGATAAATAAATAATAATAGATAACTGAATGTCAAAAATTTACATTGCGTTTGTTTGAAAGCAACGGTGTGTTTGATTTGATCATCGGATATCTCCGAGCGCTTCAAAAGCGTTTGAATTGACACTCCGAGAGATCCCTAAAGTGTTTGTTACGCTTTGGAGCGAGAACATAGAGCGAGCTCGATGTTCTCAGAGCAGAAAGATCGAGAAGAGGGTGGAATTTGTCTTTGTCTCTACCTATCTCTTTTCAATTAACTTACAAACAAATTTGAATCTCAAAATTAAAGACAAGACAAGAAGTCAACAAATTACTTAGCCGCTTTTGTCTTATAGCTAAAATTATTCATCATAAAAAAACACAAAATGTGTGTTTGGAAAATACATTTTTTCTGTCCAGATCTAATCACCAGTAATCATAGTCATGGAGTATGAGAGCGAAGCGGGCATTTGTGGTAAATGCTGCATTTCAGGGCCATTACCCCTTACTATGAAAAGTTTTTCCATTTTCTTTACTTTTTGTTCACTAATTTAACATACAAACCAGAAACAAGAATCACAAAAAAGCGAGGTTATATTTTTAACTCTGTTTTATTTGATTTGATTCAATGCTCTATTGTGACGTCATCACTTCTCGGTCTCCTCGACGCTCGCTCGATCGAGTTTCAAATCAAACGCCCCTTACAAGCCAGTTGTTAGGAGGGGAAGAGCGGGGTTTGTTAGTTTTATTATCCAGTAGCGTATCAAATAAATGTCAATAGAAATGCTTTCGATTTATATTATTTTATTAGTTTTGAGATATTTCAATGGATCAATATTTCTAATATGAGATGTTTATAGAAAACCGTCAAAAATGAATTTTTCAGTCGACCAATACATATATTTTTTAAATTAAAAACATACATTATTTTTATACACAAATAATTTGAATAAACGTTGCAATGATAGGTTTTATAAATTCTAAATTTTTGCACTAATATTTTTTAATAATATCGATTCTTTTGTAAATTATTTTTATTGATTTGTTATGAGTACCGCTTATATATGTAATAAAAAATAGAATAAAGTATCTGTTTATTGTTAGTCCCTTTTAAGTTAATTAAATTTTGTGCACAAAATACTTATGGTTTTTAATAATTGGGAAAGTAAGGTTAAACTTGGGTTAGATCTGGAAAACAAAACAAAGACAAATGTTATAATAACAGTTTAAAATAAAGCGATACTTATGTAATAAATGATAAGTTCATAATTACACCGTTTAAAAATATTACCAAGGTATTCTAATACACAATATTTTGAATAATAAAACTTAATTTCGATGAATTCTTGTCAGTTAGAAATAGAACAACGTTAAGCAATTTTTTAGAGACGTGTTATTGTACTCAGTTGGTTTAATAACAATTAATAATGGATAATGGGGTGATTATAATAATTTAGTTGCCTTTCACATACCTAATTTATAAATCAAATAATTATGTGACAGGTACCTAGATAACTAAAACTAATATTCATTAACTACAGATAAATAAAACCCAACAATTTTCCTACCACACAATTTACAAATTAAATTAATTATGAGACGTGATAATAAGTAAATATAATATACATTCACTTGAGATGTTGTTGGGATGGGGTGTTAATACACTGCGACCTAAAAGATCTATTGTGCCCCTTCTGTCGCTAATGCACCAAGGAAATGTCTCAATGCCTATAACGACCCTTCCAATCCTATCTTCCCAAGGAAGTGTAGGATTTGGAGTGGCTTCGTGTTAGGTAAATCTCTCTCTCTTTTCTATTTGATATCCTCCTACTAGGTATAGTGCCCTTGGATTCTGGAGTACTACACATTCAGTTAGAATGTGAATGTAGGTTTCGTCCTTCTCCTCACAGAATCTGCTCTCACTATCCTCTACTACTCTCAGTTTACTAGGTGTCCTTTAAGTCGATAATGCCCGGTAAGGATCCCTGTTACAATAAGAAGCCTGTTCTTGCTCAGGCAGATGCAGGCTGTGATGTATGCCTTATTTATACACTACTCAATAAAACAACACCTTGTTGTAAGCTTTTATTCTCTAGTATTCTAATAAACACAGTAATTCAGTAATGGTTATAATACAAGACAAAACTCAAGATGAAATACGAACTTGTAATTCAAGACAATGCGCATCTGACTCTTATTTAGTACTCGTGGCGGCATCTACGTACGATCTCTATAATCCTACGGGGTCACAGACATCAGATGACTGTGATATAAGGAGAAACTTATATGAAGCTGAAACATAGATGGCGTCACGGGTACTAACATTACCATTTATAAATGGGTAACAAATCTCACACAGGCTTCCGATGTTTCCTGCCATGGTTTCCTGGTTATATTCACCCAGAAGTATCTTAGCGTGTCTTAGCCTTACGAGATTGATCCAATTATCGGTTCTTATACTGCCCAATTATTTTTTAATCTCGTCGTGGACGTTTGAACGAGAAAAGTCAGTAAATGCATCGCCTTTAAAGGGGATGCTTTAGATGTTCTTCAGACTGTACCTGTGGAAAAAACGGATGACTTTGAAAGACGTCTCCAAGAATACGAATTAGATATTTCCAGAATGATGCGATACTGGCAACCATTTTCCTACTACACAATTTACAAATTAAATTAATTATGTGACGTGTAACTATATAATAAGTAAATATAATATACATTCACTTGAGATAAATGAAACCTATTTTAATTTAGACAATAAGAAAAATCATATCATAATAATTACATATATTATTGTGTTATTAAAATATGAATAGGTAATTAAAAAATTACAAAATGTATTGGTTCCCGTACTAATACTTAGAATATTCAAATTAATTAAACATAGACAAAAAAACGTTTTTATTATTTATATTTTATATTTTTATTTGTTCAAATACTCACTTAGTTTCAGATGTAGAAGGTTTAGAATGTGACATAGTTTCCAGTTGAGGAACAACTTCAGGATGTGAGTAAAATAAGGGCATTACTCCTTTCATTAAAAACATTTTTCCTCCTGGAGACTTAGCAAAGGCAGAATCCTCAAAATGTCTTGAACAAATTCTACTGAATACACTCTTCATCCTCACGTGTACCCAAACTCTTCATCCACATATATCTAATTTGAGGATCTTTTGGAAACCTAAATAGGTATAAATAGTGTTTTCTTATTCATATAGGTATATAGGATTTCATGTAATACAGAATGCAACATAGTATACTTTAAAATAACTATGGTGTTCTAACAATATATTTTGTCATTAAAATAAAGCAATACTAAGATTTTATAACTAAAGTAAATGCCACTAGAGCCTTCTTAAATGTACAGTGTGCATAACAATATAACTTTAATTTAAAGATAGCCTATTAATAAATTCAAAGTTATTAAACACAGGCACAATAAAATAATTCGAAATTCGACGTTGAATGTTATTTTAAACTTTAAAATAAATTGTTGTTGTTTAAACCTTATTTTGAATTATGATACCCCTCAAAAAAGTGTGATGCAACGGTAATGGTTTTTATTTACTTACCTATGAAACGTTATCGAACTGAATTTGAGATACTTTCTCGAGCACACAATACAATTCACTGGCATTTTTAAGCAATTAAATGCACTAAAATAACTTAAACCACAAACAATTTTCAATTAAAGTACGAAATACACTCAAAATGAACCACAAAATAACCATAAAATAACTAACCTAACTAACGTAGTCCTGTCAATTTTTTGCTAACCAATCAGGTGTGTAACCAAAATAGCGAATATCCAATCAAGTCGTGTAACCACTGCTATATAGTGAGAGGAGATGCTGGTTACAAATATTGCATGATAGGGCTGTATCTATTATTTATTTATTTATCTGAGACTTCAACGCTTTGAAGACTAGAGATAAGGAGGCGAATCGGCATACTCAAAATACTCTCCCAAAAAATGAACGCTAATTGATCTTTTACAATTCACCGCAGGGGCGCTGGTGTCTAGTGCTGTTAAAAACATATGGCTTCTTATGGGAATTTTACATAATTTTGTGAAAATAATAAAAATTAACTCGTTTAGCACATAAAGAACATAAAATACTGTTGTAATTATTTATAAATATGTCTTGCATGTTTTAATTGATAAATTATTTAATTTTATCTATATAAACTACAAATTAGGTAGGTATGACCAAATTCGAAAATATTTGTTAAATAGTGAAATTTAGTAAGTACAATTTTGTGGCCAATGTTTTTTTAAATATACCTAAATATAGTTTTAAGACAAAATAAAACACAGGTAACAAGATAAAGGGAGATTTAGGAATGTACTGTGATGGAAATGAAACATCAAAAATTTAAAATTAAAAGTTGGTCAATAATATAAATTTTTGTAAATAATAAATTAAAAATATCACCCTGTACATCAAATTTAATTTGAGTTAAAAATTGTCAAAAAGAAATAAGTCAGAAATATCCGGGGAGACGAGAGAAAACAGAGAGATTTGAAGGTTGGTTAAAAAAAAATCTGACGGGAACCAAATTTTAAGTTTTTGAAGGCTTTGAATAATTTAAAGTTAAAAGTTTCAGTTATATTATGAAGATTTATAAAAAGTTGTGACATTTTAACAACTAAGAAATCATATAGACAAGTTGTATCAATCAGTTGTAAGATAGAGTAATAAACTGGTTAAATTATATGGTGACCAGAATACGGTGCAAGGTAATCTGTTGCAGCCTGATTGCCTGAAATGGAAACTGCAATGGATAAGAAATTTGGATTCAGTTAAGAAAAAGACTTTTCTTATTAGTAGATAACATTTTCTTATTGGTGTGAAAGTAAAGGACAATTTGCTATCTGCTTCGACATTCATACCAAAGACTGTCTCTTACAGATATTTATATCAAGTATAGTAGTAGAAATTATTAAAATAATTATAATTAGTATATTTTGAGGATAGAAAAGTCAAAATTTGACTAAATGTCACTTTGAAATATATCAAAGAAATTTTGAAATTCT